ATACATATACATATACATATACATATACATATACCTATACATATACATATACATATACATATACATATACATATACATACATACGTACATACATACATACATACATACATGTGTATGTTTAATATATATGTATATATATATATGTATACACACAGGTGTGTCTGTATGGCTGTGTGTATGCATGTATGTATGCATGTATGTACGTATGTATGTATACATATAGAGACACCGTATAGTATACAGTAATAAAAAAGACTTGTATTTCATTGCATTATCTGATGTTAGATTATATTATGGAACGTTCGGTTCTATTGTGGTATGAAATATTGTGGTATGGTATGTTATTTGTTGTCTTATTGTGCTATGTTGTGCCATCTTATGCTATGTTATGTCTTGTTATGTTTTAGTGAATTATATTTTTGTTATGCAATGCATTTGTTTCGTATACCTTATTACAATCTTGTTTCGTGGAGTTGGTTTTATGCTATGTAATGTAGTGCAACAGAGTTTATTAAAGTATTATATTATGGTTCATAACAAAATATAACATTGTACTATACTGACTATATCATATTACATGTGATCCTAGCATATTGCATGATATGTTCTGCATTTTGCATTTTTATATTACAATAATTTGTACTAGTTTTTTATATTGGATAATATTTTGATAACATGGTATATTATACTATCAACCGCCGCAGGCTTCGTAGAGGGTCGAATGAACCCGAAGCCACCGACCAGTTCATAAAAATCTTGACCTGCACGCTCTCTAAGCCCAGCAGTTGGGGCTAGCGCGCGAGTTTATTGTTCCTAGCGTTTGGATTTAAAGTTATTTAGTTTATCAGGAATCAGGTACTGGTACGGAAGAACCCAGTCCGGTATTGCATAGTGCAGCAAAGCCTTTCCAAATTGCTGCCGCCCATAAAGTGAATTGTAGGGCGCTTGCTTCAGGCGTCAGGGTTCATGCAGTTTCGGGCATTTGGAGCTTGGAGTGTAAGTACAGTATAAGACTTACCAAAGGGCTTGCGCATCTTGATTTGGTGGAAATTCAAAGAGAGACGACCGCAGCAGGTCACGTTTTCAATTTCCTAGGGTAAGAATCGGGTAGAACGTATGGACCCAGACTTGATTGAACGCTTGTTCACTATACAGAAAAGACCTGATGGAGCTGATTCCCGTGGAAAAGCGAGTACTTTGCCATACACCCTCCCACATTGCCTTGGCTCTTCTAAAACAAGCCTCAGGAAGCCCAACGAAGTCTAAACCATTCAACCCCAAGAGGTCATGGCCGGCGTCTTGGGAATCTACGGCTTGATTACGGCAGCCCGTGACTTAAGAGTTGGAGCGTGTCAGGACTTCGGTTGCTTCGTTACTTTGGGAGTGGGGGCATCAGGGTTTCGTGGTGTAGAGTTTCAGGTCCTGAAATGTTTCAGGATTCAGGGCACAGCGGTTTAAAGCTGAGGGCCTCAGGCTTCATGATTGGGGTTGCTGGGTTGCGAGATTTTGGGATCTACATGTGTTGCAGCACCTTTGCTTTTTCTGAAACTGTATAATGTGAGCATTTCTGAGCCTGGTCATGTTTCTTGTCAGAAGCACCTGAAGACCGTAGATGCCGAAGGGTCTTCGGGGCCTTTTTCTCGATTTCGGCCTATGGGGTTTCGGCAGGAGGGCGATGTGGCAGGGGTCAGCTTTTGGGAAGTCTTGTCAGGTCAGTCTTTGTGAGTCAGAGCTTGAGTCACACTCGCGCTGAATATGAGCTCATGGTCCATCGTCTGAGTTGAAGCATCGCGCCGCTACTGTCAACATGGATTTCCTTGCAGGTGGCAGAACTCTGAGAGGCAACCCAAAGGCGACATAACCCGTAAGTTACCTCGCTTCGGAGATTGAATCTGCCTGGTCATGCCTGGAAGACTACAGTTACTTGCCTCCAATCACTGAGTTAGGGTCTTTTTGTCAGCCTGCCAGCCGTAGGTGTCCCTTTTGCTGCGTCAGGTCTCTTTGAATTTCCTTAGGCACTAGTGTAGACAGCTTAGGGCTTGTATCCTGAGTGAGTTCCTAGGCTCGAAGTCTTGTGATGTCCAGTTGCCATGCCATTCGCTGTCTGCAAGTCAGCACACTGCTCCGCTTTCCTTCTTTTCTGATTAATGTGCTTTTACCAAATGCTGTCTGGTCCGTGCTGGCATGATGTACTCCTGTCAGACGAATGTGTTTTACTAGCAGCAGAAAGACGTTGCAGCTGAAGGAGCCTAAACCCTCAACAGTCGTATCTCGAGCTCTAAGGTGATTATCAACGGCAAAATGGATGCCGCAAACTACTCTGCCTACTCTGGCTACGCGCACTTGGGAGCAGGCAGTTGGCAGATGTGTCGGTTTAGGGTTCAAGCTTGGGTCTCAGTGCTTGCATGCCCGGTTCACGCTTCAGGCTTCGTGTTCTGTGTTTGGAAACTTGGTTTTCTAGTTGTCGGGCATGGGCTGTCTGCAGTTATACTGGAGTAGCGCTACAAGACCACTTGTTCCTGATAAATGTGGGTGTACATATATATATATATATATATATATATTATGCTGTGCACACACATACACGCGTATTCGAACATCATACTGTAAGGATACTCGACACCATGGTGCATGGTTGTATTGTGCACATGCACACATACATGCGAACGTACATGCAGATGAAGCACAGAAGCGTAGCTGCAGCATAACGGAATAAGGATTTCAGCAGCAACCCAGATAGATGTTTTTCGAACTGAAGAATGTCTACAGTAGCTGCTTAGTGGTTTTGCCATTTTGATGGGAGGCCTTACCGTTGGCATGAGCTCGCTGGCCGCTGGCCTTGCCATCGGCACCTTGGCCTCCTTCAATACCTGAATGGTGCAGGCGTTTTAGGTTTAGTGGGCGGAATTTTATGCTGCTTTTCGGGCTTTAGGGCTGGAACTGTCCTTTCTTCCCCTGTGGAGTACTCTAAGGCAGGATTGCGTGTGCAACTCCAACATCAATGGCAGCAGTCGTCTGCTTCGGGACGCATCCAGGATTCAGAACAAGTTCTGCATGAACACAACCCTTGTCCTACTTCGACATTCTGGATTCAAGGGTTCAGTGTGTCGTGTCTTGCAGCTTCGAGCTAATCGCTGTCCTCGACATATCAAGCCGCTAGCCGGAAGATGCAATGCAACCCCACCACCTGAAACCTCGAAGATCCCAATTCAACCACGTGAAGCCGTGAGCCATAAAGCCACTGTACTTTGCAGGGAGTCGTACTTAGCATGCAAAAGTCTCAAACGTAAAAGCGTTAGAGGCTTCGCAGCAAACATTCAGTCCTGATGCCCGCGAAGCTCAAACCCTAATCTTCTTCCCCAAGTACCATCTCAATGCCCAAAGCCTGTTCCGATGGGCAGCCCAGGCATTGTTGGAGATGCCGGAGTGCGGCTCAAGCCTCAGATGGTTTGAGTCAGCGTTGAGAACTTGATTCAGGCCTGGGTTCAGACCCTTCAGAGCTTGCTGCTTCAGTTCTCCTGGTGTAGAGTTGAGTGGAATATGAATCGCCTCCCTACACTTTGTTTTGCATACACCCGAGGCCTGAATTCCTAGAGCCGTATACACCTTCAAGCCCTAAGCTCCAATCCTCAAAGCTTCAACTCTCCAGCCTCAAGAAGTTAAACCCCTTCACCCGGAATCCTAAGACGTCAGCCCTTTGATATCTAGCGTTTATAGGCTGAGCTGTAGCTGCAAGGGTTGAGAGTTTACCGAGAGCTTGAATTCGAGTCATTACCTGGTTTTGGACACTGGAATGTACAATCGAAGAAGGGGACTGTGCTGAAGGGTAAGCAAAGGTTACGGGATTCCCTGGCCACCTCCACCTGCAGCAAAGGGCGAATGCCCAGCAGCCGCGGCTGTTCGCTATTGCCTGAGACCAGTTTCGGGGCTTGGTTGTCGCTACTGTGGTTTAGGGATATAGCAGCGAAAAGCCCGCGCTATGATATTCTTGAGCCCAGAATGCTGAAACCAAAGCCCTTAAGCCGCATAAGGTGCTGCGTGAGAGCTCTTGAAGGTTCTTAGGCCTCAGTTGCTTGTAGCTTCCTGCGCCAGGTCTTCTGAAGTTTGGCCACAAATGTATAGACTTTGCAGTCGAGGTCTGGGGGGTTTGGTTTCAGGCTTGCGGCTTGTAGGGTCTTTGGTTCTGCACTGCGTGCTCGTTTCCTTAACCCTGGACAGTCAGATGCCAAGTGCAATGGTAAACGAGATCTGTCTGAACTTCTCGAGACTCCAAGCCCAATACCTACTCCCAGAGACCAGCCATAATGTAAGCTCTAAACCGTGTTTCACGTGTTTGAGACTTTTTGGCTCATGCTCCTTGCATGCATAAGATCGGGTCGCAAACTAGAGCCTCACGGGGTAAGCCTTCAGCCCGAAGAAACCCTGTACTTGTATTCAAGTTGCTCAGGTGGGCATGATTTTGATCCTCATCTTCGCAGAGGCCACTCGCATGGGTCGAACCCATCAAAGCAACCCGCAAGTTCTAACGGGATCTAAATCTAAGCCAGGTTTCGGCTTCATGATGCTGCGGCCAGAATGGGTCGTTGCCGTTCGGACTAATGCTGTACTCAGCGGTGTCTGCACATCCTTTGTAGCAGATGCCGTGCCTCGCGCCCCCGACCCCGAATACGGATGCTGCACACCCTTGATTGTTGGACCTGACTCGAGCCGGGGTGAATCACGTAAGTGGCCGCAGACCCGACAGTTTCTTCCAGCTCTTCGCCTGATCATAACTGAGAGCTTTGCATCGTCCTACCGTCCTGCAGTTAACAACCACAACCTGCAAAGCATAACACACCCCAACGCTTTGTTTTGCTCTGCCCATTTAGTTCCACGAGCTTGGGACATGAGATGCGTTAACAGCATACCACGCGTTCCAGCTGAATGCCTCTGCAATGTCTGGTTTCAGCGTCGAGTGCTGGGCTCCGCGTCTATGAATATAGGTAGAAAGAAAGACGGATAGATGGTCTTATGGGTGGGTTTGTAGATGCGTAGATGCTAGACAGATGGATACTTAGCTAGACAGGTAGCAGATCGGTCGACAAATAGATATGTAGATAAAACAGACAGCTAGGCAGATAGCTATAGATAGATACAGACTAGGCACAAATGGATATAGGTAGATATAGACAACGTAGATCAATACAGGTAGGTATCGATAGATACGGACAGATAGATATATAGAGATAGATAGAGATAAATAGATGGATAGATAAATAGCTAGGTACTTAGATAGATGATAGATAGACAGCTAGAGAGAGAGAGAGAGAGTCTCAAACTTTTTGACAGCAGCCAGTCGGGGGGTGAACATACTTTCTCAAGTTGGGGGATATGTAACAGTGCCGACGAGCTGTGCGAGCAGCAATGGGCTGCGAGAAAGGTACACGGAACATGCGTGAGCCTTGGGATGAGGCAGGGGGATAGTTAGTCGAGTTCAGGGGAGATTGCAACGGTTCTCCGAAGCCTGCCTCATCATGCTCAGCAGTCTCACAGCCGACAAGCACCAGGGCGCGTGCGCGCGGGGGGTGCGGGTAACCGTACCCCTTAGGCTGTGTGGAAGAAGAGAGAGAGACACAAAGAGGAGAGGTTTATTTCGTGTTGAGCTTAGGCTGTGCCTTAGTTTCCTTTTATCGGCAGATATGTTGAGATTTTTCGGATAGCCCACGTCGCAGTTTCACAAAATGAGCCGAGAGGGGGAGTACCCTCGCGAAGTCGCATATCCCACAGACCAAGCTTACTGTTCGTCACGTTATGTAGCGCGTTATGTAGCAACTCCTTCAACTGGTCAGGGGGATATTCACTTTTGGGTGTCCAAGCACCGAGCACAGAACTTGGGGGGACAGGACATACACTTTCAGCTTTGAAACTTACCCTCATGATGTCCTGTTTCCGTCCAAGTAAGCCTTATCACCTTCTCTTCAAAGCCCCATAACATATGGGGGGCCCATGTGGCCGAGGGACCTGACCCGTCCCTAATGCCCAGAGGAAGATAAAGAGAGAGATGGATTAATGGATGGATGGATGGATGGATGGATGGATGGATGGATGGATGGATGGATGGATAGAGAGAGAAGGAGAGAGATATTGACATAGAGAGATAGATAGATAGATAGATAGATAGATAGATAGATAGCTAAGTAAATGAATAGATAGATAGATAGATAGAAAACAGATAGAGAGATAGAGGGGGAGAGAGCGAGAGAGAGAGAGAAAGATAGATGGATAGATAGATAGATAGCTAGATAGATGGGTACATCATATAGATGGATGGATAGACAGATAGATAGGTAGTTATATAGATAGATAGATAGATCGATAGGATAGTTACGTACATAGAAAGATAGGTAGATAGATAGAGACAGATAGATAGATAGACTGGTATATATATATATAGATAGGTAGGTAGGTAGATAGATAGATAGATAGATAGATAGATAGAGAGAAATAGAGAGGGCGAGAGAGAGATAGATAGGTAGATAGATAGATAGGTAAATGAATAGATAGATAGATAGATAGATAGATAGATAGAAAACAGAGAGAGATAGAGAGATAGAGAGATAGAGGGGGAGATAGGGAGAGATGGATAGATAAATAGAAAAAAGGTACAGCATATAGATGGATGGATAGACAGAGAGATAGGTAGTTACATAGATAGATAGATCGATAGGATAGTTCTGTACATAGATAGGTAGATGGATAGAGACAGATAGATAGATAGATAGATAGATAGATAGATTGATTGATGAGTTGATTGGTTGATATATATATATATATATGTGTATATATATGTATATATAGATAGATAGATAGGTAGGTAGATAGATAGATAGATAGATAGAGAGAGATAGGTAGATAGATAGAGGGGTAAATGAGTAGATAGAGAGAGAGATCGAGGGAGAGAGAAAGAGATAGATACATGGATAGACAGATAGATCGATAGATAGAGAGATAGATAGATCGGTAGGTAGATAGATAGATAGATAGATAGATAGATAGATATATAGATAGATAGATACATAGACAGATAGAGAGAGACAGAAAGATAGATAGATGGGTAGACTGATCGATAGCTGGTCAGATAGACAGGTACGATACGTAGATAGACAGATAGATAGGTCCGATCGATCCACAGATAGGTGGATAGATGGATACATGGACGTTTTCCTCTGAATTCGTTTTTGTTTTGTATATGTAATTTGTTGTTGATGTATGCGCATGTTCTACAGACGTAAGTATCATACACCGTTGAGATTCCCTACTGTACCTGAGAAGATAGTTACAAGCCAAAGCCATGCCGCAAGACTGACCTTGCTCGACCGTCGCGTTCCCCGTTGTCTATTTCAGTGCAACATCACTGCCCAATCAACTTACGTCAAAAGAATGCTGTAGAGACTCCCTATGACCCTGTAAATGGCCATGCAGTCTAAAGCCCAATCTACCGAGTAACAGCACTTTGCTTA